AGGGCGTATGAAGCTTGTCGACGAACCGTTAATATTCCACACTAATCGACCATTGAGTAATTATGGTCGTAAAGATTAGAGCGTTCAAATAAGTGAAAGTCGTTATACTAATTTACATATAATCTCAGTCTTATGATTGCTACAAAATTTAAGTACAAAAACTGCATTTGGCGCAAAAACTACCAAATATTACGACCACAGGCAAACAGAGTAGTTCCGTCCTTGTACTACTTTTGTGGATCATAAAGTAAATGGATACGCTGAAGGCATTGCTCTGGCCATTGTGGCTGAAGGCATTAATTAAAATCAGCAGGCTAGGACAATGCTGCTAATATGGTCTTTTAATTGCTTATGGATAATCGACTGAACTTAATGATTGTGATAACTGAAGCTGTTCTCATCAAAAGCAGGAATAAAAAAAATACATAACACTGAGTGTAAACGAGTATGCATTTTACACGAGACTGTAGTGAGGCCGTAAGGTGTGATTACTGATGGCAGGTTATTGTTCAAAATGTACAGTAAAACGTATTGATGGCAACGATTCGCAGCGCGTTTTCCAGGCTGATGGAGAACGTAGACGGCCGTAGAAAACCGTATAAAACTATCAGCGAAAGTTACTCATTCAGAGCTGGGCGAGAAGGATTACGATTACTAGACGATTAGGATTGCAGTAATCCCAACAAGCTAAAAAAACAAGATTACGATTACAGTAATCCTTTATCGAACGAACTTAGATTACGATTACAGTAATCGAAATTTTAAGAAAGTAAAAATTACGATTACTGTAATCGTAATCCAAGTTCGTTCGATGAGCGATTACTTTACATAATTGTAATTCTGTATTGTTTTATTTGCCGGTTATACAAAGTTTATTTCGCTCAAACTACTTTACTTATTATTTTAATTTTAATATTAGTTTCTTTTATTTGTCTGTTTTTCTTTTTAGATAAATATCTACATATAATTCTCATATTATCATTAAGCGCGCATTTATATTTCGCAAATTTATAGAATAACTTCGTTTAAGATTACTCAAAAGATTGTAATCAGAAAAATTGTAAATTTTAAATTACTGTAATCACCTCATTTCTTGTAACGGTGAAGATGTTATAATTGTTAAAAAGTGGAAACCTTACTCAAAAGGTAATGCATTATTTAACATCTAAAAGCCGAGTCCTTTTATTTGACACCTCATTTCTTGTAATCCAACGAACAATGCGGATCTAATAAGTTTTTAGACAGGATACAACCCTATAGGAATTTAAAGTACTAAAGATAATATTCCTACCGATACAGGCTGTACTTATAAAATCTCGTATAAATCCGTTCAGTAGTTGTTGAGATTAGCGTTGTCAAAACATCTCGACCGACAGCGAAAGTATTTTAGCTTTTTAATAGGTAGAAGCTAAGTCTTTTCGTTTGACAGTGACGGTGGAGAACTGATGCCTACTCTTATTATGATTGAATATAGGAATTTTATTAACAGGTAGCAACCCTATTAAAAAAAAAAATTGTTAGTGCTTTTCTAAAGGCCAATCCCTTTCATTTGACACCTCATCTTTTGTAATCCAACGAACAATGCGTAGTTTATAATTTTTTACACAGGCGGCAACCCTATTAAAATTCGAAGTAAAAAGAGTCACTCTCCTGTCGATACAGAGTATATTGGAGAAAATTTCGTCAAAATCTGTTCGGTAGTTGTCGAGATTACCTCGTACGAAGAATCTCGACCTTCCTTTATACTAACGATCTTTGAAATAAATTTTTTTGAGCCTCGGGTTGAGTAAAGTTGATGCAGCTAGCAAAAATGAATGTTCGATTGATGGATTTTAGACAACTACAGAATTCATATTTCTTGAAAAGATTTTTACGACTATGTTATAATTAATCGATTAATAATCGATTATTGAAACACAAAACTACGAAAGAATTAAATCGTAAATTGAACAGAAATAATCAATTGATTTAACCAAAAGATTAATCGCTGACATCTCTAGTTGAAATTGTTTGAGATTAAACGAGTAGGGAGAGGGAAGCACATATGGGCCAAATGATGGATAGTGCCTAAACCCAACGTCCGTTGGACACTGATATTGCCCTAAAAAGTTATTAATTTTTTGCTAAAAGATTACTTACTATAAAAATTTTGCATAACTTGTCCTCAGTAGTGAATGAATCATCGCAGTTTTTACATTTCTCAAAAATGCCCAAAAATCAGTGATAGACTTGGTTTCAAACCGAAATCCTTATATAGTTCCGATAATTGTTCCATAAAGACAGGTTTATCGATTATTTCAAAGAATGTTGCCCCATTTTTAGTTTTTTTAAACACTCACATACCTAAATTTGTTTGGGGAAATTTGAATTTTTGATATTATATTTGCCAAAGCTTTCATATAAAAATATTTCTTATATAGAAAAATTATTTGCAAATAAATGAAATAATTATGGAAACTGGAGCCGACGCCCCGCTTATAAAGGCACTTGATGATAATTATTTAGCCAATATCGAAGCCAAATCTTCAAAACCAGCGAAAATAGCACCGGCCAAGAAAAGGAAAAAGAAGACCTTGACAAAAGCGCAGAAAGAAGAGCTAAAATTGAAAAGGGAGGCCGAGTCTAAGAAGTTGGAGTTAACTGTAAGCCTAACAAAAAGTAAAGTAGTTGTGGGTTATTAACGCTTGCGGAGACTTCTAAATTTAGCAAAATTTACAACGGGAGCTCGAGTTATACATGCGATCTGCAAGGAAAAGCAGAGAGGATTGGGAGGAAATATGTAGGGAAATCAAGATAGGGGAACTGAAATCTGAAGTGCTGGTAAGTACGGTATGACAACATCAAAAAAAATTAGCTTGAATTGTTGGATATTTGAAAGGAGTGGGAGAATAAAACGCGGAGGGTAATGCAACAGAAGGATGAGAAAATACAAAACCTGCTTGCAGATATGGAGTCCACAAAAGATATGGCCAAACGAAATTTCGAACGCCATCTGCAGGTGCTGGATTATGCCACAAGTAAGCAGTAAATCGTCGGCAAAGTGCAAAATAGATCCACCTTGGTATAAAGTTCGAAAACGTCCTATTTCAGACAACTTTTCAAGAACGCCCTATTTCAGTAATTGATTTAAAAGCGCACTTTCTCAGCTGCCGATTCAAAATCGCACTATCCCAACATGTTTTTAATATATTTTCAGTTGATATTCTTAAAACGTTAGGGTGTTTTCGAACCGGCTGCCGAGATATGTATATCGAAATACAGGCCAAAGAAACTGTAATTAAAGTACTTTCAATCCACTAATTATGTAGTTTCCGTATCTGAGTTTATTATATTGAGAAGAAATAATACTTTACTCAAACTCTTCCGAAATAGATTGCTACAACACTCTGATCGCAGTTTCTAAGCAGCTCTACGAATCTGAGGCACAGCAAATGATCGAAGAATTCCACGAAGAACTAAACTCTCGGAAAGATATCGAGGATGGGTTTCGACTCAACTGTGAAAATATCATGCATGCCACCAATTTCGTAGTGGAAAATCAAATGCTTTCGGACTATAATATCTTCGTGGAGAAGCAGGATAACGCGGTGAATACTGAGATCGAGAAACGCTTTCAAATACGAGACAGCGTCATCGCAAAAATGAAAGCTCTCCACAAACAACTCATCGACTTCATTAGCTCGCTGGTGGATACCTCATTGGATGCCAAAAAGTACGAACACATCCACGGGCTGATGCAACGGCAGCGTAATTTCGTTACCGAGTCGCGAAAGATGAACGACATCGAATTTCGTCTGACGCGCACCGCTGGCGATTTGCAGCGCGAATTGGTCCACAATGAAGTAGAGGCGCAGAGACGATTGGCCGACTTACGTCTCGAACGAGAGTACTTCATGCAGGTGCGGAAAGGAATCGAACAAAGTATTCATAACGACAGGCGCGAAACTTTCGAAAAATTGCAAATTTTCTCCGGCGAGTGTTATGGCATGCTGAAGGTTGGCGAAAGCATAATGTCGGATTTCCACTGGGCTTTAAATGACAAAAAAAATGTATGATAAATTCGGACTTAGTTCAGAACTAGAACGATAAATCCGGCTTAAATCTGGGCAATGAAAAAATCGTTGTTCTTGAAAGACATTTTGTCAATTAAATTTAAAAAATGATCTGCCCTTTACATAAAAGATTTGGCTTGGTGGAAATTTGGCATGATTTTATTCGGTGGTTAATTGTATGTATGCATAATATGTAACTTTGTCGCCGCACAGGACTACCAAAAGCTATTGAAATATGGCGAGCTGCTGCTTTCACTCACCGCCAGCTGCCGTAAGTTACAAACAGAATCGGAAAAAGTGGTGGCGCCCAAAGATGAGGATAAGCTGTCCGAGGAGGAAATAGAGTTCAGCTTAAAAGCTCTGAACTTGGAATCACATGTGGACATGTCCGATGCGGTAAATGTGAATTTGTTTTTCTAATTGAAAGAACTGCTCTCACTTCTTGTGAACCTTGGGAGTAAAACTTCGTTATTCGTCTCAGATCCCATGCATGCCACTCCATGACTTTCCCCTTGTTTCTTGCAGGAGCTTTTAAGGCAAATGCAACTTATGAAGAACTTTTGGCATCGTACAGCTCTTGCCGAGGCTCAGAATCTCATTCTTGCCCAAGAGAAGCGTGATCTTTTGGAAGAGAATCAGAAATATATAGACTTCATAAAGCTAATGAGCAAGCGGGAAAATATTGAAGACATGTTGAAAACCTTGACGGTGACACCTTTGTTGCCTAATAAACCGGCTAAGTGCTTGCAGAAACAAACCTGAACTTCTGTGTTTGCAATGGGCTCTAACAAGGATCGACATATTATTGTAAAAGCCTATATTAATAACTATTTTTGATACTATTTTTGCGGTTTTTTTTAAAAACGTTGACTAATAAATAATATTAATATTCATTAAATATATGTGTGTATGTATGTATTTTAGTAAATATGCTTTTATAAAACTTTCAGCTCAGTTTATATCCTTCTGGAATTGTAAGTTAAGAAAAGTTTATTCCATGGATGGTAACCTTCCAATTCAGGGCTTCGGATCGTAGTTTAGTACATCGAATGTAAGAATTTTGTAGAATGACACAGACCACTCTCTGTCCTTCACATTGTTTGATGCATTATCTGAGTTAGGTGTATAGTCACGGCGAAAGCGCATAAAAATCTCGGCGAAGACAATACGATGTGGCACTGCCATAACATCCATAGGTGTGCGCATATCTGTGTCAAGTTTACGCAATATTTCATTGATTTCGACCAGCTCCTCTGGTGAGTCAAAGTCCTTAGTGTTGCGCAGGCCGACAAACAGCATATCAATGAAGCAATATCGCCGTCCTGAAGGGTAGGAGAGGGAAAAAAGATCGGTGTACAGTTAAAAAGGGGCCAAAAAAAAATGAAAAATGATAAAATATTTAAATCTTTTACCGAAATTTTTCCGTGTCGCCACTTTCATTGGTATCGCCTTTCTTATGTGTTCTGTATCGAATTTGACCAATCTGAGTCGTGAGTCATTTCTGGAGAGCAACATGTCTCGCGATATTTGTTGAAAACCAACAGGTGTGGTGAATTGGCCTAGTTTTCCTGTACTTTGATTACGTATGATGTCTGTCATAACGATGACTGCCTGGTAATCGGAAATAGATGGGAAATAAATAATTCAGGTTTTGTTTCGGATTATAATAAAAATATAGCTCAAAAAACATAGGTCGGTCTATCTACATCAAGGAGCGTGTATTTGTCAATTTAATTGTGGCTTATTAAAATTTGTAAAATTTTAATATTTTTATTGAGTTGAGTACCACGATTTTGTTTATTAGGGAAAATTGAAAAAGCAACAAAGCAGAAGTTGTAGCAGCTATTTCTGAGATCACCACATCTCCTCATCAGACTTCTTTTTTCTAGACTTCAGAAATCGAGTAAAATTAACTTAAAATGAGGAGATGCGCTCATCTCCTGTTTTTAAAACTTTTTATAAAACAAGTAATTTTAATTTAGTTTTAATTAATTAATTTAATTTTTTTTTAAACACAACCGACTTCAATTCTCATATACAAGTTTCATGATCCAATGAAAGGATCTAAACCAAATTACGGAACGACCCTTGAGATTCCATATTTCCGATAAAAAATAGAATTATTGAAATGGGTTCACATCGTACAATGTTATGCGGTAGCATACATAAAAAATAAAATTAAAAAATATCCCGACGACTTGATAACCTCCCCCTTCAATTTTTTGAAGTCGGCTAAAAATGTTTGAGTTCTTTGTTAATTTTATGTTAATAAAGTGCAATTTGTAAAATTTTAAAAAGTTTATTTATTACATACTGTACATAAAACTTGCATAAATGTATTTTAAAAAGCATATTATCTGAAGCGAATTTTCATTATTTTCTGGTGGTATATCTTTGAAAGTATTCGACATAAAATACACGTTTTCTTCCCCATAAAAATTCTTCCCATATTAGCTCTGATCCAATACTTTTCATGTAAAATCCTGTAAAAATGTCATATAGAAAAATTTCTCTCTGAAGTGAGAGTAAACAAGTAAGAGCAGCGCTGTCTTCGGCTATGCCGAAGGCTTCATACCTTTCATGAACATCTGCAAATTTTACTTTGACAGATTACTGCTTTTGAATACATCTGCATACATCGATAGAGGAGTTACATACTTACATATATATCGCATCTTAACAATAAGAGGTATGGAAGATATACTTTATATAGCACCAATCTCAGTTATTTTCACTGCTATGTGATCGGTATGTAAACCGGTAACACAATTTATTGGGTTTAGTTATATCGCAAAAACTGGTATCTGAACAATCAGTGGTATAAGAGATAAAGCTTATACAGAATAGATTTTAACGAGGTTCTCAGTAGAATTTGTGTTATTATTTATAAAATAGCCTACGAAATTTATCGGTTTTAGCTGTCCAAATAAAGGGGTTTTACAGTAAAACCCCATATCTGAACAATCAGATGTATGGAAGCTACATATATGTTATAGTCACCCGATCCTTGTTATTTCCATTGTAAGTATTCTGTTAATAATGAGTGAAAATGGTGCGAAATTTCATATTCCTAGCTGCATAAATAGAGGAGTTATGATAAAAGACCTCATATCTGAACAATCTGTTGTATGGGGGCTGCAGGTTATAGTGACCCGCTCTTTGTTATTTTCACTGTAAGTCTTCTGTTGATAATAAGTAAAATCAGCGCAAAATTTCATGGTCCTAGCTACATAAATGGAGGAGTTATAACGAAAAATCCCATATCTGAACAATCAGTTGTATGGGAGCTATAGGTTATAGTGACCCGATCTTTGTAATTTTCACTGTTTATAATTGGTGCAAGTACTGCAAAATTTCATGTTCCTAGGTGCATAAATGGAGAAGTTATAACGGAAAATCTCATATCTGAACAATCGGTTGTATGGGAGCTATATGTTATAGTGGTCCGATTCTTCCGGTTCCGACAAATGATTAATACATTATATAAATACACCCACCTACCAAATTTTATCCGGATATCTCGAAAACTGAGAGACTAGATTGCATACAAACAGACGGACAGACGGACATGGCTAAATGGACTCAGCTCGACGTTCTGATCATATAAGTATACATTTTAATGGGTCTATCTCTTTTTGTTCTGGTACTTACAAACATCGGACCAAAGTTATAATACCATTTCATGCTCATGAAAGGTATACAAATGAGTAACAACAAAAAGTAAGGGAACCCGAAAAGCATTTTTCCCGTAAAAACGTCAACCAGTGATCGCTTTACACTTTTCATGATTTTACCAACAGGAAAATTTCGGGTAAAATCTTGCAACTTCATTCTCTCTACACAACTCTCCAAAAATCGCTCTCATTTACAGGATTTTGGAGGAATTTGGAGTATCATTTTTCCTGTGACTTCCTGCAAGTTCGTGTAAAAACCTGTAAGTTCATGGAATACTGGATCAGAGCTATTATTTTAACAGGTGATGGATGCCTTAAGGGATGGAGAACAAACTTGCATCAAGAACTGAGTTTCGTAAAAAATTTAACATACGATAATTTTGCGCGAGGGGGTCGATATACATAAGTAATATACAGAGTCCATGAAAGATACAAACGAATTCATACAAATATCTGCTCGAATCCCAATGAATCCTTATTCTTCAAGTTGGGCACAGCAGTATAGGTATTGAGGTGAATCAAGTTCAACGTGTTGAAATCTTACGTACATACGTACACATGTATTTCACCTCACTTTATTGGTTTGTGTCTTTACTGGCCATGGTGGCTGATAAACGGAGACATGTGGACCTTAAGTTAGGACAAGAACCGGAATGTACTGATTCGGAGACTTTACCATCAAGATGCAGAAAGGCGTTTATTTTGAACATTTGAATTACGGATGAGATATTTGTCGAACTAAGCTATGAGCTTAGCTTGTATGGAAGCCTTGGCCAACGTATTTATATTTGCAAGTGAAAAGCGATATTGGCTTGTATTGCCAAAAAAAAAATAGTCGCCGTTTACGGTAGACATAATTTTCATAGAGGAAAATGTAACCAAACGAATAAATACAAAGACGTCTAAGCGCCGGTTGCTCAAAGCCTGCTTGACGCTGATTGGTGGGACATTTTACTCAAGATTGTGATCAATTGTGAATTATTTATAACTATATCGTCGGAACATAAACAACGGCGAAAGATATTTTTGAATATAGATAATAACTAATGCATACAATTCCTTTAAAAAATACCAAACCATTTCGTGGCTCTAAGTAACTATAATTTGAACGAATGTGGTGGGACACTGAAATGAAATTTATTTTATTTTGTGCACTCAAATATGAATTTTAGCCAAAACATCAAATTTTATGGAAAGATGTGGCATCACAATAATATTGTTATAACTTTGGAACTACTTAGTGTTTCAACTTGAAACTTTCCCAAAAATTTCTTCAAATATTTGTTTATATTGCTGCATTAAAGCAAAAAAAAAAATAAAAATTAAACTTTGTAACACAAATTTTGCATTTGTAAAAAACACCTCCTTAACTTTTTTTTAAGTTAAAAATTCCGTAATTTAACTTTTAATATGTGTTAAGAAGTGTAGTTAAACACAGTTTCCTTAGAATAATAACGGGTGATTTTTTAAGAGCTTGATAACTTTTTTTTTTAAAAAAACGCATAAAATTTGCAAAATCTCATCGGTTCTTTATTTGAAACGTTAGATTGGTCCATGACATTTACTTTTTGAAGATAATTTCATTTAAATGTTGACCGCGGCTGCGTCTTAGGTGGTCCATTCGGAAAGTCCAATTTTGGGCAACTTTTTCGAGCATTTCGGCCGGAATAGCCCGAATTTCTTCGGAAATGTTGTCTTCCAAAGCTGGAATAGTTGCTGGCTTATTTCTGTAGACTTTAGACTTGACGTAGCCCCACAAAAAATAGTCTAAAGGCGTCAAATCGCATGATCTTGGTGGCCAACTTACCGGTCCATTTCTTGAGATGAATTGTTCTCCGAAGTTTTCCCTCAAAATGGCCATAGAATCGCGAGCTGTGTGGCATGTAGCGCCATCTTGTTGAAACCACATGTCAACCAAGTTCAGTTCTTCCATTTTTGGCAACAAAAAGTTTGTTAGCATCGAACGATAGCGACCGCCATTCACCGTAACGTTGCGTCCAACAGCATCTTTGAAAAAATACGGTCCAATGATTCCACCAGCGTACAAACCACACCAAACAGTGCATTTTTCGGGATGCATGGGCAGTTCTTGAACGGCTTCTGGTTGCTCTTCACTCCAAATGCGGCAATTTTGCTTATTTACGAAGCCATTCAACCAGAAATGAGCCTCATCGCTGAACAAAATTTGTCGATAAAAAAGCGGATTTTCTGCCAACTTTTCTAGGGCCCATTCACTGAAAATTCGACGTTGTGGCAGATCGTTCGGCTTCAGTTCTTGCACGAGCTGTATTTTATACGGTTTTACACCAAGATCTTTGCGTAAAATCTTCCATGTGGTCGAATAACACAAACCCAATTGCTGCGAACGGCGACGAATCGACATTTCACGGTCTTCAGCAACACTCTCAGAAACAGACGCAATATTCTCTTCTGTACGCACTGTACGCATTCGTGTGGTTGGTTTAATGTCCAATAAAGTAAACTGAGTGCGAAACTTGGTCACAATCGCATTAATTGTTTGCTCACTTGGTCGATTATGTAGACCATAAATCGGACGTAAAGCGCGAAACACATTTCGAACCGAACACTGATTTTGGTAATAAAATTCAATGATTTGCAAGCGTTGCTCGTTAGTAAGTCTATTCATGATGAAATTTCAAAGCATACTGAGCATCTTTCTCTTTGACACCATGTCTGAAATCCCACGTGATCTGTCAAATACTAATGCATGAAAATCCTAACCTCAAAAAAATCACCCGTTATCTTGTTAACTAAATATGTACAAATTTCAAATCAATCGATACACAAACGTTTGAGGTATAGCCTGAACTTAATTGAAAGTTTCGCAAAAATTGGCCGCTGTGAAAAATTAGCTTTTGTGGCTTTTTCGACATGGAGCCATCTGTAAAAACTTGGTTAAAATTACCTGAAAATGTATTTTCATGTTAGGTATCGATTACAAATGGTTTGAACCGGTTACTTTAACCCAAAAACTTTTTGTAAGTCCTTGAGCACTATTTGGGGATAATCCGCAGGCCTATAAGTTAGTTTTACTTGACAAAGATTTAGCTAAACGCTTATCAAAAACACGGCTAATAATGATTTTTTTTTAATAGCAAAGCGTTGGTGGCCCGCATGGACATACAAAAATCTTTAGCACACGACCTCAACCCAAACTTAAACTGCAATGCGCAAAACTACTTTAAATGCAATTACTTGGTCTACTCAATCAGCTTGATATTGGCGAAATTTTGTATCCAATGCTTGCCCAGTATTTAATATGAAGTCTAGTGAAGACACATTACACTACGTAGGCATCTGCCCAATTTACCACGACATACATTTACATCAGTTTAGTGTAAAAATCGTGGATGCAGCAAAGACTATAGATATATAGAATGGACCCAAATACTTAACCCTTTATAAATAACTCTCCTAATGTCTTAAGTAAAAGGAACTCACATTAAATGATTTTCGTAGTCATTTGAATTGTTAGTATTATATTTAAGTTAATTAAACTATTATTTTAATTCGCTGCACTGAGTCTACATCGTTGTAAAGATATACACCATAGATATTATTGGTGACTGACATTTTTATTTTATTGGTTATAATACTGGTTTCCAAATAAATGAGGTCGTCTACTATTTATGATACAAAAAGGGCTGTAAACATTTGGTCTAGCCCAAACGAGGGAAGAATTACTACAACTAGAGTATGAAAACTGTAAATAGTTACGTGTTTTAATTATCTAAGCCGCGCAACACTTAGAACAGAAAGTGAAATTAACAAAAAAAAATGTAATGACCGAAAATAATGGTGATTTCGTTTCATCCAAAAAATGTTGCCCTTTCACGGTGCAAAATGTATTTGGTGTTACACGCAATCCTCTAAAAGGGCATTTCTTTGCGCTCCTGTCCTTGTCAAGATCACTCATTTCATAATATTGTCGTTTTAAGCAACCATCTGATTTTCAGGGCAACCATCTCCCCGGACAGAGTTTCAAATGGCATATACCTAATGTGCCTTTTATGCCTTGCAAGAGTGTGACATTCAAGAAATGAACACAAAATTTTATAACCGTCGAACACGAAAATAGAAAGGGACAATCAAAAGGAAAAATTTGTTGGTAGAAACGAAAACACCATAAATACGAGTACTTGGCGGAGTTCACTAAGTATACGAGTATATTCGGTATTATTTATGCATATTTCGAAGACTACTATTTATGATGTTGGTTTAAAAATAATGGACTGAGTAAGAGCTAGAGTATAGACATGAACTCCCTAATCACTGCAATATACTTCAAGCTAAGATTTTATGTTAAGGAAACCCACGGAACTTTTCATTAGTGAGCCTGAAAGTGAATCCACGATTAAGAAATATGTTCGTTGATAGTAAGCGGCCATAGAGGAAATTAACGTACTTCACATTTCGTTCAAAAATATACTAAGTAACAGGGAAGGACTCGTGTTGCTATGTAGCAACGAAAAGATGTTTTGCAATACCAGATGCCATTCATACTGGCATTATTACGAAAGGACTTCGAAACGATAACCGGCATACTTTCATGCTACTGTCTATTTTCAGTTAACGCACTCAAGATATAAAGAACTGCAACGAGTCTAGGAAACGCGCGAAGCCAGAAGCGAATGAAACACCTGAGCAACACCTATGCTTACGTCGGGCAGTATCAAGATTTCTACTGAAATTCCTGGAGAATACATAGTCAGGAAATCTAGAGAATGCCTCCAAAGTGGTACGTCAGGTGCTTCCCAAACTGGCTAAAAGCATCAGAAGCTCGTTTCTGTGACTCTTCTCTACCGATTATTTCTCTACTGGTAGAGAATATACGCCATTCTCTGCTACTCATTAACAGTAGAGAACAGGGCGGCGAATTCATATCTCAATCCTTGGTAGAGAATTGTTGCAGAAACGAGCTGCAGCACTGCTTACATTTTCATCGAAAAAAATTACTAGGCTCGGTTATTGCATCAATAATAAGTGACCAGTCACTTTTTGATTGCAGGTATGTTTGTGCACGCAGCACGCTTGACATATGTATGTCTTTGGTGCTTGCTTACCTGTCTTGACCCACGTATGAATTCCTGTTCCTTGAACTTGTGATCCCAAAATATACGAAGTTTCCACAAATTTAGTCTTGTTAAAATATATTTCCATGGATTATGCAAATAGACTAACTTTGGTATGGTTTTTCGCTGTTCATTGTTACGTCTCTTATTATTTTCCCAATTGTTTGAATTTGATCTGCTGCTGCCTTGAACGGTGGGAGGTCTGGCAAGAACGAATGCATATTTGAGTTGATGCTTGTGCGCGGAAACACAAGCGTGGAATGGGCGCCACGACGAACATTGAAAGCACGAGGGAAAATGAAAGTTAAGTCCGGTTCGAGATGCCCAAAATATACAATCAAAAATCACTAGTAATTTTGTTGACATTTTTTTCTGAAAATTCCTTTTTTGACTCAAGTGAAGTTAAATGTTTTTCCTTTGATATTCTGTAAAAAAAATATTGGGAAATTAAATGGGGAGTCGGAGTTCCAACGCTAAATTTAGCCATTGTAATGAGTTCGCGGAAAAATTTCCAAGCAATTCGCCCGCTTACAACGAAAGACTTAAGGCACAAACTCGGATAGCGCGTAGCACAGCATTTAAATGCTCGCCGTTTGTAAAGTGCTGCTAGCCGATAACTTATCCAAAGTGACTACATTAATTTCACTGTGACACAACGTGAGAACCGTATGCGAAAAAAAGAACTTTGTACGAAGAAAGGAATTGAACAAAATTATACTGGAGGCAAGAAAGGTGGGGGAAATGACTGAATAAAAAATCTCAGTAACCAGTTTCTGCATGGAACGAGAAAGGGATGTTGTTTTCAATTTTTTATTTCAGCATTCCTTTAAGTTCTTTTATGCTTTGTTGCCTCTTTATCACTCAAATCAAAATGAAAAGAAAAACCAAATATGATTCAACGGCTAAAAGTTTGTGGCAGCCAGACAAGACAACAGCGTTTAAATTGGCAATCCGGCATGGTGATCGTCTGGAGATTTCTTGCGTCTTCTTGGCTTTTAACTCTTCTAAATTATTGTTTGTGTGTTTGTTTTTATTTCTCTTTTTGTTTTTGTTTAGAAGCAGAGGATTGTGTGCGCTTGCATGGTCTTGGCTGGCGGGCACCATCCTCGTTTACACATTACCAATTTTTGCACCAAAGCTATGCGCATGGTCAGCGCCATGAAGCAACCCAGCACAAAGTGTATGAGGGAAACTGGAAAAGCAGATTCTTGCTTGTAGAACGCGTTGTACTTAATTGGCCGCTTAGAACATTTTTAATTCCAAGTTTTCGGCAGTGATGAGCCGAAGATTAAGGCCAATACAAGAATCAAAGTAAAGGTGAGTACGTACATAGATGAAGAAAAGAATAAAGGAAAGGTAACAATAAAGAAAAACAAAGACGCGTAAAGATAAATGCAAATGTGAAGATCAAGGTGAGTTGAAGTACTCTACTTATATAAGGGCAAAAGTGAACTGGAATATGTAGATAAAGAAAAAAACATAAATGTAAAAATTAAGAAAAATATGATACAAAAGATGGCGATGAGGATACCGATAAATGTAAAGATAAAGATAGATGAAGAAAGATTAAAATAAGAGTAACTATAAAAACAGGATATAGATAGATACACAGAGACGCACCTCACGTAAACCCACCGCACTTTAAATAACCACACCTGATCCTACCACAGCTAAATTCACCACACTTTGACTCACCACGACTGAAATCATCGCACCCATACTCACCAAACTGCACATAAACTCACCACACCTCAAGTCATCTCACCTAAATTGGGAAACGATTTTGAGATTTTCGTGATTCTCGGGACAAAATTTAGATTTTCAAAACTATTTTGGGATTCTTGGCATTATCACCTGAAATACAAATTATATTCTTTACAATTGGGATCATAACTTTTTTTATTTTTCTGCACCAAATAACAAACAAATTTATTTTGTGTATTTCAAATTTAAGCAATTTTGCTTGCTGCGCTCAGCTTCACAATGGGCCGTATGAATAAAAATAAGCAATTGCTTTTTCTTAAAATTTCAGATCTTTTACTCAATTTATTCAAACAAAATTGAAGTAAAAGGTATGAAATTTTAAGAAAAATCAATTGGTTAGTTTTTATTCATACGGCCCAATATCTTAAAATTTTTTAATTTAAATTTTAAATTGTTTACTTATTAGCAATATGCTTCGATATGCTTCGCGACGCCTGATAAGAAATTCTGAGTTGACCAATACAAAAATAGTGGTGAAATGCAAAAACGGCAAAAGTATATTTTATGATGCGGAGCACCCGACTTCGTTACCATAAATTAATGGAGACATAAACTATTTTTCCGGTTTAGTCTAAGGTCTCCTTATGAACAATACTTTTAATACTCGTGAGCATAAGACAAATATGTAATCACATGTCAACGCAAAGCCTCAGTGAATACTGATGACTTTTAAATTAAAATGGAAGGTCTGTGGGAATAAGTGGGACTCCTGACATTATTAAGGTTAGGTTAGGTTAAATTGATATTCTCCGAATGTGGACGGCATGCGAGCTGGGAGGTTCTATGACTTCTTGCAAACTCTCATAACTTTTTAGTTTAGAAGAGGATATTCCGTGTAGCTGTCTGTTCATAATGGTTCTCTGAATGTAGTAAATCTATTGGCGATATCACGCCTCTGGCAAAGAGTTACTCTCTTTACTATAAGCGCTACGCGCTTTTTTATAAGCTCATTTGTATACATTTAATATAGATGTTCCAAATGTATAGGAAGTGCCACCCCCTTTTAAAAAAATATATCTTACTTACTATAAGCATCATCCATAGATATGCATGGCAATATTCCAAATTTCATAGTCATCTGACTTACGGTTTCAAAGTTACAGCTGATTAAAAATTTCACGCCTATGGTCCGAATGTGTATTCTATTATATTCACTGCACCACCTTCGGTCATTCTTTTAAAGAAATTTTCAATGTACAGACACGACTTTTCTACAGTTTTATTATAGTATAGATTAACTTAAAATGTAAATATATTTAAACACAATGCAATTTTTAATAGTGTTTTAGGATTTCCATTATAAAAGAAATAAACATTTTATTTTTCGTTTACTACAAACTGACATACGTACATAAACGTATATATGTATGTCCACAATAAGATTTTACTTTTATTATTTTAGAAAAAACACTTCGCTTCCAATTCATTTTTCTATCTTGCGGCAATGTGTGGTGCATGCAAATATTTGCAATTGCCCCACGTTAATAGAGCGCAGGCGCGGAATCGTATTTTATGTGGAACGTGCACTGCATTTGAACCTACATACATACGTACATATATTATGAAAGTGTATACAGCAGTAAGGCTCTAAACAAATAAAATATAAAAACTATTCCACCTACAGCAATCAACGGTCAATAGAGTGCTGCCAGTATCGATGATTTGGTTCAAAGCGCGCTTTATTGCATGCATCAAATTTAACGCATTTACATGTACTTCAATTTCAGACGGTTGTGGAGTATAAATAAACCTTCAATATAGTATATACGTATGCATGTATGCATGGATTAATACACTTCATTTTAAATGCAACTATATACTTGAAGGAGGATTAGCCTACAGCTATCTTAATGGGGCGTTGCGTTTATCTACGCGTTTATGCGAATAGTCGACCGCTGTAGTCCTTGTGTGGCACGCCAATCGCACAAGTCATAGATTGCCGATTTCGCATTGCCACTAGTATATAAACAAAAATGAAACAAAAAAAGAAGTGATTAACTGCGGTCGTCATCCGTTAAAATACATATCTACAGCGGACTTAAAAATTACATATAAATATTTTCAGCACTTTAAAGAAGGCTTGCTTGTTTGAGGTCGGACTGGTGACCACCCGAACGATTCTCAAGTCATGAGGTAAATGTTGTACATTTTCTGAACCTTATTGAATTCTATTGTGACTAATTGGCTGATGTTGTTCTTATAGCTATATGTATGTCTGTATATGACTTATACCCCATATGAATGAACTTCTAAGATTTAGACTATTGCATCTGTTCTTCGAAGAACGCCTTCAAAATTGATCTTGAGAAATCATTTACACAAAACTAATACTTAGCTAACCTAGGAAGGTTGACACATGCGCCTCTGTGCAATGAAGAACTCCACGGGATACCGGTGGCCGCCTACTGGGCCACGATGCGCTCGGGCGCATAGGGAGCTATGCGGTTCTGATAAAGGGAGCCAATGGGGAACGGTAGAATATTTGCCACAATAAGAAGAGAGTAGCCGAATTACGCGAGTACGAATAGCTTGAAACACTGCCCGCCAGAAAAAAATTATCAACAATTTTACCAGAGAGTTAGGCAACTTATGGTTCCCAGAACGTGACGAACTCCAGCGACAGCTGTCCACTGTTCTTCGAAATTACGAATTCGAATTTACGGGCCTTTACGCGTTGGCGACGGCGAGTACCGCAGACGATGGAACGATAAGCTTTATGAACTTAACAACGATAGCGACATAGTGCGGCAAATTTAAATACAACCGCTACGCTGGCTTGGTCAAGTCGTCCCAATGGACAAAAACGCTCCAGGATTGAAAGTATTCAACGCGAGTCGCGAAGCAAGCAACAGAGGAAGAGCAAAGCCACCTCTGCCGTTGAAAGCCTATGTGGAAAATTACTTGGCTTCACTTGGCATTTCCGATTGGTGTCAGTTAGCCCAGAAGAGAAACAACGGACGTGCTTTGTCAGACTCACACTTAGGCGGTTACTGTGCCAATCAAGAAGAAGAAGTTTGTCTAAAAAATTGTAATTTATGGTTAAAACTATGATAAAAACATTACAAAGTAAATTCATTCTCTCAATTCTTTGGCCATGCTTTTTTTCTGACGTTTGCCAACATTTTAAAATCATATAAAATTGAAAATAAAAAAATTAAATTGTTCACAATTGTTGTTGTTTGAGATTGAAAATGAGAATGTGTGTGTGTTTGAGTTTTGATTTTAAAATTATATTGTTGGCAAACGTCAGACTGCCTCTCAATGGTTTTACCTTGTTATGTTTTTATCATGGTTAAAACTGTGAATATGACAACATTGGTTTGGTTGATATTTGAAAAATTACAATTTCAAAAAACCACTAAAAAACGCTGGAAATAACAGATGATAACCGGTTTGGAAAACCCTAGTCAATCACCCTATAGATATATGTATTTACTT